ACCAAAATATATGTAGAACATTTCTGTTCTATTGCTGCATTAGAAAATTAAGCAGATACTGCCCCAAAGCTACTAACTCTAAAATAACTTTCACATTTTTAATTGAAAAACACACAAATTTCTCTAATTTATAGGTATGAAGGAACTTCACTGCTTTTGATATACGGATTATATGTTTTGGTGCTGTGTTTTGACATTAAAATCAACCAATATATTATAAAGAAATGCAGTCCTTGCTGCACCTGCCTTGCCAAAGCAATGGAAGAGAGAAGTGAACAACAGCCACTTCTGGGACGGGAAGATGAGGATCAACCATTCATCCGTAGGCAATCAAGAACTGACAGTGGAGTATTTCATGAAGATTCTGGCTACTCCCAGCTTTCTATAAGTTTACATGGTCTTAGTCAGGTTTCTGAAGGTAATAACCACATCCTGGCCACTATAAAGTCTATTCACTAGCAAAACTTAATTTCATTTCAATTCATTAAGTACTATATACTTACTATGTAAAAAACACTACGGGGATTCAGGGATGATCAAGAGGCAGACCTATCCCTAAAGAAGCTTCCAATACTACAGGGGAAAAAAAAAAAAACCAAATAGCTAAAACGTGAACATTTAAGTACTGTAAAGAGAAACAAATAAAGCATAACTGTGGTTCCTAAACGGGACAGATGGTATAAAATTTGAGGAGGATGGTTAGATAGGAAAGATTATCACGGAGAAGGGAGCATTAAAACTAAGCCTTGTAGAATAGTAAAATTTTAACTAACAACCTGATTTATGAATAAGTAACAGCTATTGAAGTCTAGACTTCAATAGCTGTTACTTATTAGTCATAAGTAAATGATGCAGAGATAAAAGAGTATTCCATGGAATGACAAGGAAATAACATGGGCAAAAGGCCTGCTCAAGTACTAACATAACTGGAGCACTGCATATGCAGAATGGAAGCAGAAGAAAGCTGGATAGAAAGGAAGTGGATAGAGTCTTAAATGCTAAATTAAGAGTGTTTGCAGGTTTGTGAGCAGAGAAATTATCAGAACTGAAATATGGGCTAAAGGACATGGAGGTCTTTAAGAGGCTACAAAACCAACTGATTGTGTTTAACAGATGTCTAGACAAAGTGAAGGCAGGGGGAATACAAGAGAACAGATGTGAGACATTGCAAAGGAAGCATCACCAAGACCAGGCAACTGAAGGGCTACTTGGGAGCAGAGATAATTCTGAGGCTTTTGATCATGACTGATTGATAAGAACACCACTTACAAGAACTAGGAATTAAGGAAGAAAAGCTGGTGTGGGAAAAAAGAAAGTAGGAAGGAAACAGTTGAATTTTAAACATGTCATTTGAAGCAGTAGCAACACTTAAGTAAATATATTTAGTAGGAAGTCAAATTCAGCTATGGCCAGAAATACAAATTTGGTGGTTACTTTTTTATAAAGTGGTTGTAAGAAACAGATTCTAAATTTTATTTAGTAGACAGGGAGCTTATTCTAATTTATTACCTTAAAAAGTTAAAATATGACTTTTCCCCTTCTTACAAAAATTATAGTTTCTAGTCTTTCAGGCGCAAGAGGTACACATGTCTAAGTTAAATTTTGTAACAAGAAACTCAAAAGAACCAGTCCAAACATTTTTTATTACACTAAAATTATATCTGTTACTTTCTGGCCCATTGGCTGAGGCTTGGTAAAAATTTTTTGAGTTATTTTACTAGCATTAGTTGTAATGTGACCTAATACATGGGTATAGTATTTTATAAATGCCATACAAATTTTAAACAATTTTAAAGTGAATTCCCCTTTTTATCGAATATATTATTGTCTTCCACTAAGTTAATAAAACAAATTGAATTTAAAAAACATACTCAAGTCTTATAAGTTACATGGTAGATTCTATACTAGTGCCTATTTTCTTAAGGTTCTTTCTAAGAATTGTGGTGAATTCTGTTTGGTAAATTAATTAAAGAAAATAATGAGACAAGTCCCCTAAAGTCACTTACAATGAGAATTAGAAATATTCAAGTTAATAAAAAGATTATGCTATAATTATCTTATACTCCCTAAGTATACATTATGTGATACATAGGGCAGGCTGGAGGTACCATCAATATTGGGAAATGGAAACAACGGGGATAGCTAAGGTAAGACAGCAAGTTAATCGCGTAAGCAAAAGTTACTAAAGACCATCCACACTGTAGAAAACCAAGAGATGTTGAACTGACACTTCATAAACCTTATGTCTCTAACATACTTAGTGAATGATCCAAGACATTTTGATGGATTTAAGGCCCCAAATCAAGAAACGCTGACTATCACATTTTACACCGTCAGCCCTGAAGTCTCAATTAGTTTCTTTGCCAGCAATATCAGTAATGAGGTATTCGAATGTTTTAAATAGCCTCTTAAAAACTGATACAGCTAATTTATTTCAATACAGCTTTCTAAATGAACATTTCTAACTTAATTGGCCACTTGAGAAAACTCAAAATCGTTTAATTTTTCCTTAACAGATCCACCAAGTGTTTTCAACATGCCTGAAGCAGACTTGAAAAGAATTTTTTGGGTACTATCCCTTCCCATTATTATACTACTTTTTCTAACCACACCAGATTGTAGAAAAAAGTTTTGGAAAAATTACTTTGTGATAACCTTTTTCATGTCAGCACTGTGGATATCTGCATTTACATATATCCTGGTTTGGATGGTCACAATAACTGGTATGTATCTTAAGTATAAGAGCACAATTTAAAAATAAAATCAGTTTTATATAAGAACAAAGCATATATTCACTAAGTGTAGTCTAGTTAAAGAGCAAATTTTTTTTTCAGTAAAGACTAAAGATTAGTGCTATTTACAGAAAGATTAAATATTAATACACCAACAAGCTCATTCAGGTTTTGTGAGTTGTATATCACACGTCAACTATATTCTGTTATACAGCCCAGGGGTACAAGTCAAAGGAATGTACATGTTATAAATGAAATCAAATTCACAGAATGTCTATTATGCTAATAATTAAATCACACTGCATGGGTACACAATATAGTCTTTTATATTGAATTCCATTCCATAATAAAAAATATAGCAAGGTGCCAGTGTTTTGAGAAAACGATGGGTACTGTTTAACTGGATTACATTTTATTTTGCTTTTTAATATGGGAATATAAACGTAGTATAAAATGAATAAAAAGGGTATAAAATAAAGTTTCATTTTAGGTTTCTACTACCTTCATGATTAAGATTTAACTATCACTGCTTGGTCATAAGCAGCTGTAGTCCCACAGAACTCCTAGTCCAGAAGGAAAAATTGAATATAAACAATGAACAAAAAAATCAGGAATTTCTCCCAGAAAGGTTAAGCTGAATGGACTTATATCATAGGTGAGCAAACCACCACCTGTGTGCCCAAATCACTGAGTCTCCTTTTGAGAGTTAAGTTTTACTGGACACAGTCATGCCCATCAATTTATATATTATCTATGGATGCTTTCACATTACACTGGCAGAGCTGAATAACTGCAACAGAGATCATATAGCCTGCAAAGCCTAAAATAATTACTATCTCACCCTTTTGAAAAAAATTTGCTGACCTCTGACTTTTCTCAAATTAATATATGACTTAGAATAGTATGCTATTCTATTTCTTTTTTTTACTTTTTTTTAAGAGTAAGATGAAAAAGAAAGTCCAATAGCTTGCATATGAAAACTCTAAATTTTCTCAGACAGATCACATTTTACATTAGGAAAGCAAGAAAAGAACAAAATGAAGTACTAGATCATAGAACAGTCCCTAAGATGATAAATATTAGTGTTATTTATGTACATATGAACTCTGGCAAACCAGTAACAAAATTAACAACCAATTACAATTCCAGTATCAATATATAAGCATGCAATAAATATGCTACTTGAAGTTCTTTTAATTAACATTTTAAGAAAAAGAAATTCTAAAGTAAGTTTTCAATTACAATATTAAGAGCAGTTACAATTACTTTTTTTTTAAACTTCCCTCTAGTTCTGTTTCCCAAAATGAATACATTTATGAAAAATGTTGAACTGACATCAGACTTAACAGAAGTATTAAACTGGGACCATAAAGTTAGAAAGACTCAAGCCGAATCCTATTTTGTTTTCCTCAGATTTATGATTTCCCAAAGAAAACACTAAACTAAGGTCTGTCACTAAAGTAGGAATTTAAAAACGCATACCGCGTTAACACATGTACAGCTTAAAAACAGCTACAAATAATTTGCTTAAATCTGACCTCTTTAGCAAATGTTTTTAAAAGGGAAAAGAAAATGACCAATCTCGTTAGCATATTTTAAGCAACAGCCTTGAAAACAGTGGACAGCCAAAACTTCTGTAAGCACACCAGGCAAGGAAATTACTCCTTGGTAGAATTTTGTGTATTAAATATCGATATCTGTCATTAAAAATCTGTGCTACCTGGGTTACCAATTCACCAATATTATTCAAATATTTTGGTAGCTAAAATCTAAGTAAATACATATTGGTTCTGAAATCTAAATATGCCTATTTTCTTTTTCAGGAAAGAAGTATCTGAAATATCTGCAGAGAACAGTTAGCGAAATCTATAAAGATTTGTAACTTGTAATATCTATGTTTATTTCAGGGGAAACATTAGAAATTCCAGATACAGTAATGGGCCTTACTTTATTAGCAGCAGGAACAAGCATACCAGACACGATTGCAAGTGTGCTGGTTGCAAGAAAAGGTAAGAAGTAGGTCCCTCAAGCTGCAGTGCCCTTCTTAAAAGCCTGGCTGAAATACACTGAGCAAAGGTAACTTTAAAATATTTATTTCCTCAGTAACATACTTTGAAGAAAAAAAAAGGAGTGACTCAGAGGAAGGATTTACTATTTAATAGCAGATTAATTTCACTAAATCTAATCGCCCAAGTAATATTCATCTGACATGTGATTAAATCATAACTAACCATGTTAGAATGAAAAGCAACAAGTAATCTACATACCTTATTGAAAAATGGTTTAATAAATAAAGATAATTATATTAGATAAATAAATGTTAAGACTTTAAATACTAACCCCCCAAAATTTAAAAATACAAATTCATTAAGACTTTTCCTCTAATACAACAATTTTCCAAAACAAACAGAGAAAGTATCCAGTGTTTTTTCTTATGAAGCTTATTAATAAAATACAGTATTGGTGTGCATATTTTAACAACATGCTTTTTTTTTTTTTTTTTTTTACAGGCAAAGGAGATATGGCTATGTCTAACATTGTGGGATCCAACGTGTTCGATATGTTGTGCCTAGGAGTTCCATGGTTTATTAAAACTACATTTATAAATGCATCTGCTCCTGTAGAAGTGAACAGTAGAGGACTAACTTACATAACCATCTTTCTCAACATTTCAATTATTTTTCTTCTCTTAGCAGTTCACCTTAATGGCTGGAAACTAGACAGAAAGTTGGGACTAGTCTGCCTATTATTATACTTGGGGCTTGCAACATTATCAGTTCTGTATGAACTTGGAATTATTGGAAATAATAAAATAAGGGGCTGTGGTGGTTAATGTTATGTGGAAAATGTGAATGATGGGGAAGGGCAGGGAAGGAAAACTCCATTTCTCCATTTAAGTCAAATAAAAAATATTCTGAACTTTAGAATCTGAAACTTACTTACAGTAATTCTTTATCACCAAGAAAAATTTAAAACCAACCAAAATCATATCCTAATTTGTCTGAGCCCTTTCTTTTCAAGGACAATTACATATATTAAACAGAAGTTTTGAAAAAAACCATCTATGTTTTACCTTACAGTAAGTTGATAAAAGCTGGGGACACTTGAACAAACAAATCCCACTATGCAGAACTGAAAGTAACAAGAAAATGGCTTATTTCATTAAAAATAGTATAACCATTCATTTAAACTGAATGACCAGACTTGCTGTCTTTAAAAATCCAAACTTGAGATTAACAAAAATCACAGTATATTAACACTATACTGTTAAAAGCTGGTGGGAGTTTTAAAAGTTCATCTTTACAACTTTTGTAAGCATACAGTATTACTTAAAAAAATGACTTTTACTAGGAGATTCAGCAAAACAGATGTAAGAATGTTCCAACCGTGGTTTCAAATTATGCATTACGATCCAAGCGAACATCAATTTCTCTGCCACTGATTTTTATGCCATTCATTATTCTGCAGGCTTTTTCAGCTGATTCTGGGGAGTCAAATCTGACCGTTCCACAGCCTTTTGACTTTCCATTCTCCATTTTTATTTCTGCAAACATTACATGACCTATAAAATAAAAATTATAGAATTACTAGTCTGTTTAAACAGGTTCCATTTCACTACACAGGTTTGAAATTTCTCATAGCCAATAAAATGACAACTTGGCTAAAAACAATGATTTTAAAACAGCACATCATATAAGCATTATTCTCATCATTTTATATTCTGAGTATAATGCAATTCATATAAAGTAATGAATATATACAGGTTATAACATACAAAATTGAAATCAAAATAAATTTGCTTAGGATTTAATATTTTATTAAAATAAAATTTTTTTAATGTTATAGCCTTACTTCTAAAGTGAATTTTATAGCAAGATAAGGTAAGCTAGCACAAAATGACACCAAGTCACCATGCCTAATAACAAACTTACAAATTCAAACAAAATTATTTTTAGAAAAACAATTGCTCTTTTATGCCCAATCCCCTAATCTCTCTTCCTTCCCTTTTATCCTCCATTTCACTCTTTTATCCCTGAAAATAGTAGCAACTGCCCAGAAATTTAATTTTTACCAGGCCACAAAGAGCTCCGCTAATTCTGCTTTTCAACCACAATGCCCAAGTCATTTATTCAATATGACAATTTGAACTCCACATGTAAGAGTGGCACCAAGTATATCACAGAAACAGGCATGGACAAAATACTGTAGATTTACATCAATAAAAGTAGAAAACAGTGATGATAAGAGCACAAAGAAGAACCTTAGAGAAACTTCCAGGAGGAGGAAAATCAGACAATGGTTCTGTTTATAGTTAATATCATTACTGACTCTATACAGACTGGTATTTGAAATAAATGAGTATCATTTATCAAAATACGTAGCCATAAAAATCCATCATCCAAACCAGAAACTTCAGAGAGTAAAAGGGAGAGTTATTAATAATTACACACAAATAACAGATGTAAACATTGAGACTATCCCCAGGCATGTAAGGATGTATGATAACCCAGTTCACACAGATTTAAATGTGAGGTGACTACTTGCCATGTTTCCCTCCCCTAGAGTATTATAGTTGCCAGATCACTATGGGCTAAATTTAGTCTGGCAATAAAATCAAAGAGCCAGCCATATTTAGTTCTATAAAGGGACAAAAAAAGGAAAAGGGGGGAAGGTAAAAGAAAAGGGCTTGGGCTTCCCTGGTGGCGCAGTGGTTAAGACCCCGCCTGCTAATGCAGGGGACACAGGTTCGAGCCCTGGTCTAGGAAGATCCCACAGTCCGCGGAGCAACTAAGCCCGTGCACCACAACTACTGAGCCTGCGCTCTAGAGACCGCGAGCCACAACTACTAAGCCCACGTGCCACAACTACTGAAGCCCGCACGTCTAGAGCCTGTGCTCTGCAACAAGAGAAGCCACTGCAATGAGAAGCCTGCGCACTGCAACGAAGAGTAGCCCCCGCTCACCGCAACTAGAGAAAGCCCACGCGCAGCAACACCCAATGCAACCCAAAATGATAAATAAATAAATTAATTTTAAAAAGGGCTTATCAAAAAATTGCATAAGCCCTTTCCAGGCGATGGGATGAACTTTTAATCCCAATGCATGAGTAAGATTTTTTTTTTCCTGTTTAAATTTTGATCTGAATGATTTCTACAACATCCTAGGCTACTGTTCTTCTTTTATTTATTCATCCATCCCCGCCCTGCCCCATTACTATGTTTTTTTAAAAACCAACTGATAGGTAATCACTCACCCACTCAATACTAATTAAATGGTTCAAGTTAATAAATATCACACTGAACCAAAACCATGATCTGTAACCCAAGCCAGGCAGTCTTTAACTGTGTTCTAAAAGTTATAAAACAGGTGAATTCCCAGAGAAATTATTATAATGGTTAAAGTAGATCCAAAAAATTTTTAACCTACAACAGGTAGAAAACCAAACACACCCCTGTGCACCATTAGTGGGAATGTAAACTGGTGTTGCCACTATAGAAAACTGTATGGCAATTCCTCAAGAAATTAAAAATAGAACTACCATAAGATCCAGCAATTCCCCTCCTGGGTTATCTGAAGAAAATAAAAACACTAATTAAAAAAGATACATGCACCCCTATGTTCACTGCAGCACTATTTCCAACAGCCAAGATATGGAAGCCACCCAAGCATGCACTACTCAGCAATAAAAAAGAATGAAATCTTGCCATTTGCAACAACATGGATGAACCCAGAGGGTATTATATGCTAAGTAAATAAGTCACAGAAAGATAAATACTGTATAATTTCACTTATATATGGACTCTAAAAACCAAAAGAAATGAACGTAACAAAACAGAAACAGTTATACAGAGAACAAACAGGTGGCTGTCTGAGTGGAGGGGGCTGGAGAGAAGAAAGAAATAGTAAAGGAAGATTAAGAGGTACAAACTTCCAACTGCAAAATAAATGAGTCACGGGTATGAAATGTACAATGTGAGGAATATAGTCAGTAACTATGTAATATCTTTTTATGGTGATATATTGTAACTGGACTTATTGTGATGATCATTTGAAAAGTACGGAAATATCGAATCACTATATTGTGTAACAGGAACTAACATAGGGTTGTAGGTCAATTATACTTCAAAAGCAAAGAAACAAACTCATGGAAAAAAAAGAGATCATTTTGTAGTTACCAGAGGCAGTGGGGGGGGGCGGGGGGGGGGGGGAGTGGAGAGGGGAAATTGGAGGAAGGGAGTCAAAAGGTACAAACTTTGAGTTATAAGATAAATAAGTACCAGGGATGTAATGTACAACATGATAAATATAATTAACACTGCTGAGTGTTACATATTAAAGTTGTTAAGAGAGTAAATCCTAAGAGCTCTCATCACAAGGAAAATCTTTTTTTCTGTCTTTAATTTTGTATCTATGGGATGATGGACGTTCACTGAACTTCTTGTGATAACCATTTTATATGTGTAAGTCAAATCATTATGCTGTACGCCTTAAACTTATACAGTGCTATATGTCGATTATATCTCAACGAAACTGGAAGAAAAAAATTTTTTTAAAAATACAGAAATCACATTTTCTAACAAACATCATAAAATGAAACTGGAGACTATATATATATATATATTTTTTAAAGCTTGAAAGACAAATGCAGAGCAATTTCCAGAGTCACAGTCCTCTTAGTATCTGAAATGCTGGGACCTGAAAAAAAGGCAAGTTTAATTAAAGAAGCATACCTTGGTAAATGGGAGCACTTTACAGTGATTTTGAAGAGGACTGTGGAGAATTTTCAAGAGCTTTTAAGGTTAAATGTTCTTCATTATCCTAAATTTACCTGTTTTTCTTAACGTAAGTATCCCACCATAGGTTTATTAGCAATATTAAGGTTCACTCAAGCAAGAAATCTTCAAAACTTCAAAGGAAAATATGTAATGATCTCTTGCAAAATCCGTTAATCTCCCAGGACAAGTTTCTCTTTTTTTCTCTTAAATTTCCTCTCTTTTTAGGAATCATGACTCAAACCCCCAAATTCCTGACCTCACAATGATCTCAAGGCTTTTCTAGCTGACAAGGTCTATCAGCTAAGATACTTGAAACTTCTTACAGTCTGGACACTCAGGTTTATAGAGAAAGTAGCTTATAGATACTTGTTTCATGGTTAGATTGCCCCCCAAACCCCCTAAGTATAGAACTAGAAATTTCTGTTTTCTAACTTTCTTCTTAATCCCATAAAAACACCAACTGATATATATTCTTTTCTAAAGATAAATAATTGAGGAGAAAAAAATTTAGTTTTAATTAATTAAAATCAGACTTCTCTGGTTTTGTACATGCTCCGAGGACTCTTAAATGACGGAAATATCTACTGATCTTGTGTGATTCCAAGAAAAACAAAATAGGGCTGCTATTTTAGCAACGGTACAAAAGAGCATGCAATGAGAAATCAGTATTACAGTAATAAAAAATACTGCTGTTACATATACTAACTACAAAAAATGACTCTCCTGCAATAAAAGAAACCTTTCTACTTTATTTAACTCAGCCTATTAAGTAATCTTGTGGGGTATACTCTGGAAAATGATGATGTTAAAGCATATCTAAAAACTGACCAAATTAAAGCATAAGTAAATAAATAAATGGTTTAATAAAACCTACTTCCAAAGTACAGCTGTAACATAACCACAGGACAAGAAAGCAAAATCAGATATTCTACAAGAAACTATAATTATGATATGGGGGACATAAAACAAAGTTTGAGTGTTTTTTTTACAAACGAAAGTGACTATCTATGAATATTCTTCATATATTTTTACTCTTACTGCATTATTTTTACTGTTATGTTAATCTAGAGTCCACTAGCCATGCTTGAAGCACCATGTGTTTTGGTAAATAAATCCACCACCAGTCTCCATATTCTATGCAGGTAACAGGTAGCATACTGATGTAAAAAATGAAAATAATGGAAACCTGTGGAACAACGTTATATTTGGTATAGTTTATAGCAGGAATAATTAAGAATGGGCTTTCCTTGCACTGCAGTTCTAAAACACACTAAGCCAGAGTACAGTTAAACTGTATAGACAATATGGAAGTTTGAAAAACTACACCTATTTGACTTCATTAACACAACCTGAACTAATGCGGGATCCAACTCTGAATGGGTCAGTTATTTATACTCAGTCTTCTTAAAAATGTGTATTGAGGAATTACATATAGCAAAATAAAAGAAGATCTACTTTACTATACTCACTTCCTTCTCATCTTGTTATATCTGGGGATATCTGAACACATCTTTTCCTGAATTATACCCGCTAAGGAAATGTTGTATTGAGGGTTATATAACTCATACTCCAACATTTTCTCGATCTTTGTAATTGGCCCACCAAGGACAATTAACCACTCTAGACATCTAATAATCAGAGGGCTTGCTGATGGGCCATTTACTAGCAGTTACTGTCTAGAGGAGAGCATGGAGTACCACTAGACTCCTACTAAGAAGTAATCAAGAGAATATACTTACTCACCTTGGGCTCAGGGGGTTAAAAAAATAGCAAAAGGGCTTCCCTGGTGGCGCAGTGGTTGAGAGTCTGCCTGCCGATGCAGGGGACACGGGTTCGTGCTCCGGTCCGGGAAGATCCCACATGCCACGGAGCGGCTGGGCCCGTGAGC